CCACCGGCTAGAGAGTGGCAAAGGAATTTTCCAAATTTCATCGTCATATTTACTTTTGCGAAGTGTTTCTACTATTTGAATAGCAGAAAGAAATACAAGAGCTTCTCCAGTAGCGTAAGACTTTTTATTTTTAGCAATCTAATTCGAAACTTATCGAGTAAAGAATTTTTAAAAGGGAGTAAATATTTTTAGTTTTAAACAACGCCGAGTAAATTTTTTCGCTAACAGTCAGAAGTTTCTCAAAATTTTGTTTTCCTTTATTTGAAGAGATCGATAGTCGTCCGAAATATTCTTTTGGTTCTTTGTCGCTCGAAAGATGTCTGGATTCAAGATATCTGCGTCATAATTTTTGCTATTCAAGTTCAACCATTTATTCAGGGGTAAAAAATACTTTTATGCCAAAGGTTTGAATAAAATAAAATCTGGCCTAATTATTATTTAAATAGATGCCAACCTTTATCGGGTAAAACAGTAAAATACAGTTTTGTACCGCTTTTCCGATGAAACCCTCTGTGGTGTAGGATGTTACGTACTGTCCATGTGCGGCATATTTGGACTCTGAAATAACATCTATGCTGAAATTATAATGCAGCATCACTATTAATGATGCGCTTGATTTATTTTTCTATATGTGAATATAATTTACAGCTCATCTTGGTCTGTATTACAATTTGATAATTGTACCCCACAGAAAGCTTAATATATTAAATTCAAGACATGAAAAGATTGAGATTCATTTATGTCAATTAAATTTTCTAGAACCCAACATTTCGCTTTTAACTTCACAGTTTAAGAAGCGCCTTTGTATAGCATCTTGATGCATCGTAATATTTTGTCAAGCAGGCAACGCAAAGTAAAACGTGTTTTATTCAGATCTTAAATAGATTCAAATCATGGCTGACTGATGGCGTCACCTATAGTGGAATAGCGAAGTCCTAAATGAACCCTATATTTATAATTTAATTATTCGTTATTCTGAGGTTAACCCCAGCGCAAAAGTGTTATAATGGTACTAAATGTATGCTGCCTTTGATTTACTGTTGTTCAATGAATTTATGTATATTATTATATTGTTACTATACGTAACAACTTATGTACCTGAGTATGTCTTGTAACAGTAGAACATATAACAGTATAAATATGTTAAATTTAAGAATATTTTACAAGTATGAAAGCAAAACCCGATTGACCTCACTACAAAAACCCATGAGGTCTACATTTTCAGTTATTTAATTTTTCTATTTACATATGAACATTTTTAATGTGTCGAATGCAATTTATAGAGTATTTTATTTAATTAATTTAATTAGAAATATTATTACATACAAGAAAAAAGCTGAAAATATATATATATATTTAAGACGATATTTCTAAATTCATTAACTTTTTAGAAATAGTAATCTGTCGTTCACTCAATATTTTAACCTTTCCTTTGTTTAAAAGAGTTAGTTTCTTCGTTTCTTAATAATTATTTTTTAAAATTCAATAGCGTAATCGAAAATGTTCTTTCATTTGCTGCAGACGACAGAAGACACAACACAGCTTGACTTGATATCATTAGAATTAGGAACAATTGTTTTCCTTCAGCAGTTTTCATTTCAGAACATTATTCCAAAAAATTACGAATTCTTGATTTTTTTCCCCACCAGAGGTACTGCAGTCTTCAAAGATGTCATTCTCTATTCAAGATCTTCATAAATATTTTCTTCAAAAAGAATTTGGAATTTATGAGCAGATGACATCGTGATGTAAAAATAATCCGGTTTGTTTCTTTCAGGATTAAGTATCCCTAAATTTTTAATACAAAATCTCTAAAATATATTCGGCAGAAAAATTGATAAGGAATTCAGCTTAGGTAAATAAGCTTTTTATTTTTCAAGTGTATTGAGTTTCATTCTGCAATTTCAATATCATCTAAACGCTATTCATAACTCTAGCTATGTACTCTTTGTGTTAAAAAATTGAACATCGTTACCTGGATTTTTCGTTTCATTTGATATATTTGCAATAATTTAAGATTTCATTAAATATGTTTCATTTAGGACTTCGCTAAATATGTTTCATTTAGGAAAATAAAATACGATGGCAGAATTCAAATTAAATTAGCAATCTAAATTTTGATTTGCTACTTTTGCTAAGGCGAATATAAAAAACAGGAACGAATTTTATAGTTCAGTTGAAAGTAATTTGACTTATTAAAATTAATTTCTTAAATACCATCTTTTATAACACTTGAAGCATAAATTTATACATCTCACACTCTCAAGTTATTTTCATTGTTATTACTCAAATAGAGGAAAGCAATACGTTGCTTGATTAAAGGAGCTTGATTTCAGAAATTACAAATGCCACCAGGAAAGATGAAAAAAATCAAGTAGGTAAAATAATGTTACGAATTTTGTATATCTGTGACTAATTTTAGTGAATTATATGTAAAAGTGCAACATTTTTGCATAGTATAATATGAAATACTTGAAAGAAACGACGCTTTGCACGAAAAATAAGAATATAAAGTCAAGCCTATTAAACATGAGTAAATGGCTATTTATGGATACCGCCAAGCTGGCGATGGCTTTGGCAATTAATTTTTATAGCCAAATTTGGCGAGAAATCACCAAAAGTCACCATATCTGGCGACTATTTGACGACTTTTGGTTTCCATTCCTGTATAACTGTAATTTTTACTGTGACTAAATAAATATAATTGATCCCAGTATGTAACTGCATCCTTATCTGGCCCTCATATGCCTTCCAGTAGTTCCGAGAAGGAAAAATACTAGAGATTTCTAGGCGACTGGGAGAAAACTATACAAGGCCGGAGAGAGCACTAGTTTCTCAGTTGTTAGTTGTTAGTTCAGAGCGACTTTGGAGTATTGAGATATCTGTGAGAGCTTCGCCTTTTAGATGCGCTTTGCACTGTGTAATGTTTAACGTTTTTATTAGTTTGAAATATAACTACTGATTCCGTTCTGTGATACTGAGAAGAGCTAGCTATACGAGTGTTCGTGTGGAAAGTTCCAGAACTGTTAAGTATTTCGTCTGGTAAAAGAAAATTTTATCAAGTTATTTTGTGTGCATTCAATCTATTACGAACCCGTACTCTTGCAACAATAATAAATACTATAATTAAATTAAACGTAAATAAATAAATAAATAAAGTGAACGAATTGGGTTAATGATAAATAATTAAGCAATAAAGTCAAGCAGAATTCGTATTATTTGACGTTCCGGCTAGAATTACGATTTTGTTCAAAGTCTAAGACATATCGGATCCCAGTGAAGCGTGGTTTCGATGGGCTCCAGTTGAATTTTATCAAGTTATTTTGTGTGCATTCAATTTATTACGAACCCGTACTCTCGCAACAATACTAAATACTATAATTAACTTAAACGTAAATAAATAAAGTGAACGAATTGGGTTAATGATAAATAATTAAGCAATAAAGTCAAGCAGAGTTCGTATTATTTGACGTTCCGGCTAGAATTTCCGGTCTTGTCTGCTGGTGATGTACTGGAACAGTAAAATTTTATTAAAAATATTATATCTTGTACAAACGTATTAAAAATGGTTACCATGCTAATGCCTACTTTTACTCATCTGTATAGCTATTAAGGTGATTCTTTAAAATTAATGAAGCTAGTTTCTGAGTTTAAAAAATGTTATTAAAAATTAAAATGTTATAATGCTCTGCAGTAATCTTTTATTCTATTAACTACGGCTTATTTATTAAAAAAGGATTTTTTTTCTTATTTTAATATAGTGGAGAAAAATTGTTGACGCTAATAAAAATCACAATTTTATTAGCATTAAAGAATTTTTTTTTTTTTTTTTTTTTTTTCACACGAGAAAAAAATACGTTCTGAAGAATTCACTTTTAGAATCCAGATTTGCTGCTTTTTTAATCAAATAAATTACTTGTTCAGTCTATCAGTAGATAACTTTCTTACGTCACGTTAAAGTGAGCAACTATTCGTGAACATTGATTTAAAATTTTGAGAAAAAGTACTTATTACAGTCACCCTTTGATGGAAACCGTTTTTATACTAGCAGATAAAAACAAATGACGTAAAATTATTTTCGCAGTGTATCCAAATTATATTTTTTATATTTAACGAAAATTCTGTTAATTCTCTCTATTCAAATTGGAAAGGTTTTTATTTATTTATTTATCATTATTGTTTAAATTATGGCATTCTGAATCTATTTATTGCAGATAAAAATTCTTTAAGTTGCAGTTTTTCGATATCATTTCAACATCACTTTCAAGCACACTAGAGATGAAATCCATACATTTTAGCTCAAAGAACTTTTGGTCAACATGCAGTACAGTTTCGAATACTTGAAATATGCTTTCATACCATTTGCACTACAACACGAAGTACTCTTCCGTCATCATGATGCATTTTACAGTTTTTTTTTAATAGAGAATGCGCGAAATACCTTTAACAGTTGGATTTAATTATGGTTACTTTGTAGTTGTCCGCTCCCCCAGTTTAATATATAGTAAAACTACCGAGTTTTTGTCGTTTTTTCGAATATACACCCCGTAACAGCTAGCTCATGGATACATATATCACACATATATTTGAGCACACGGAGATTTAAATGCTTTATAATTTAATCGCCATTTCGCTGAACAGTATTCACTGGCATAAAAAAATTTAAATACTGGCTGCACAGGTTTTCTCCCCCCCTTCGAAAAATTTCTTGGTTTTAAAAAATACTTCATTCAATCATTATTTAGTAATAAAACAATGCCAGCTTCCAGGATGATAGCCAAATAAAAACCTTTCGCCAGTTCACAAAGTCGCCAACGCGTTGGCAATTTTTCGTAGGAGTGCAGATAATCAGCTTCGTTATTACAAGTTCCTCGCTCGCGACCAGACTTTTTTGCGAAATTTTTTATTAGAAATTTATGCGTGTGTCCTTGTTAAGGAGCGTAAAATAAAAGAATGTTGTAATTCCAATTTCAGAAACTAGAACAAAATTTTATTTGAACTAAACAGATTTATTATAAAACTCTCTCTCTTTCTATGTAAACTATTTCTTTCTATGTTTGTAGTGTAATAAAAATTTAAATGTATTTATAAACATATTTATTAAAACAAACATTTAATGATATTCTCTCAGTGAATTTCTTCAATGATTCCGTAAAATGTTCTACAATTATAGCAAATAACAATAGCAAAATATTTAAAACTATTAGTTTTTACGTATTAACATTAAATACCTCTTAAATAACTCTTAATCCTAGTTAATATTCTATTAATTAACCATTAACCAATTATTATTATATTAACCAAGTAAAAACTGAGGACGTTTTTAATAGTTATCCTTTTATCCTTTTTTTAAGAAAAATAGTTTACTTTTTCACTTAAAAGTTTTTAATCGAAATTTAATTTGACATTTTACAACTATATGTTTTATTAGACAATTTTATAGTTGGATTATACGATTCAGAGAAAAATGAAAGATATGTATATGCTTAGATAGTTAATTGAAATTGATTCATCAGAGCTTCGATTTCAAAGCATTGTTTTCGAAAACCAGTTCAATGGAAATGATGCCGTCATCTTTCTGATTGTTTAATCTCTCGGCACGAAACGTAGATTCTGTGGTTTACTTTGATAGGTGAGTCCCACATCTCCAATTAGATCCGGAGGTTTGTCATCGGCTTCTGGCAGCAAATTGAAATTCTGCAGGATTACTACAAAATAGTGTAAAAGTTGAACAAGAGCAACGAGTTCTCCGGGACAGTTGCGCCTACCTGTAAATAACAACAAAATAAAAATATTTAAGTTCCAACAGCATCCAGATTACTCTTTTCGTTAAAATATTTTGCTGCTGATAGTGAATGTATCATATAAAATGGATAAACTGGGGGTAAATGAAAGGTTTCAGATTTCAACGGTTGTCCAAAAGGTTTTACTAAGGTTTTATCCAAGCTGTCGCTGAGCTCGCAGTCTATTAATCTGTTCTTGCATTCACTTCCCCCCTTTTTTTTTCCTTTTTAGCTTTATTATTAAGCCTCGTTGTCTTCGCATTTACGCCATATACATACCGTTAAACAATGAAACGCGAAATTTTTAAATGTCGCATAGCAACATATGTTTAGCATTCCTAATCCATTCTTAACATTTTTATAACTCGATTTAAAAGTAGGCAACATTGTTCTCTATCATTATTCGGAAAGCAATCGAAAATGATTGTAATGAGAGAGAATTGAGAAATTTATAATGAACCCTGCAAGGTTTTGGAAAAAGAATTTCAGCACAATAAGAGCCCTGAAAACTCATGGCGAGATTTTATTTTTGAAATAAAGAATTATTTCCAAGTGTAGATTGATGGGTTAGAGATTAAGGATTTAGAGACTTACAATTCTTAGTGATACCAGTAGAAAAAAGGAAATTTTCTTAATGAATGAGAGAAGGTAATTTTCCCTACACAATTAGCAGACAACCTGAACGAATATGAAAATATTGGAACAAGCTATGAAAACGTGACTAGAACTGTAGAAACATTAGGTTATTTGGAAGCAGGCAAGATGAAAAATATGCAACGCCTTCGCCGGGAATCGAAACACGGACCTCTCAATTACGCGCTGAGCGTGCAGACCGCCACACCACGAAAGCAGGAGAAATACCTTATAGAACAATGCCATAACAGAAGAACCGAGAAATGGCAGATTCGCTCACCTCCAAGACAAAATCAATGAAGAAATATAAACATAGTTTAGGACCAACAACTTATAACACCATCAGTTGTCCGCCGAAAACATCGCGAACGAAAGCGTCGCGGACAAAACAAAGTAAGGCGGTAACATCGCACAAAGCATCGTGGGAGAAAAGAAAGCAAGGCAAAAACATCGCAGTTCTAAAATATCGTCGTATAAAATTTCGTAGTCGAAAATAAAGAGGATTAAAACATCGCAATTTTAAAACGTCATAAAAAATAAAGCACCTATGAATCATCACATGGTGATAACTTTTCCGCTATGTATCTTTCGGGCTTTAAAAGTTGCAAATGGTTTAATAGGCGCACAACGATTTGCAAGCGCAAGTAAGGATGAAGAATATTATTACTTCTAAATTTTCTATTTTTGAATTAATTAATATTTTTTATTAAAAAAACAAGATGGAAACTTTAGCATTGAAGAGCTGAAAATGAAGAGAAAATTACTTCCTTTTGACATGTTTCGTCATAACTAACGAATCAACTTCCAAACGATGCAGTACGCAAAATGTTAAAGACACATTTAAGATGACCAATGAACTGAAACATATAGAGTTAAAAATATTCCTCATATTTATTTGCGTTTATCATTATACGAATATGCATTTGCAACGTTTAAAGCCTGAAAAGTACATGTTAACGATGTTATTGTCATACGATAATTTGTAGGTGCTTTATTTTTTACCACGATATTTCTTACTACTGTATTTTAAAAATGCTATGCTTTTGAACCGCATTATTTTCGACCATGATGCTTTACAACTACGATGTTTTTCCTTTGCTTTCTTTTCGCCTATGACGTTTTGTACGACGATGTTTTCGCCGCTTGTTGTTTTCTTCGGGACATTTTCGTCCGTGATGTTTTCGTCTGTAACCTCTCTGTTGACGAAAAGCAATTGCCTGCATAAAGGCAAATTCTCAACACTTCAGCATACTTTAAACCAGCCGTTCTCAACCTTTCGACCAACGCGTACTACCTAAAACGACTGAGGCAAAAATTGAAAACCTTTAGTACCACCACTCCAAAGTACTATTACCGCCACCACTATTGAACAAAGCTCAGATCGCATGCATTTACTAGTGTTAGAGAAAAAACTCAATCAGGATGTCAGGCTTTTGAATTTAATAGTTAAATATATTTTGCTTCTTTGCGTGTCACCTATTTTTCTCTTGCGTACCAGCGGTTGAGAACCCCTGCTTTAAACTAAACACTTAATTTGTAAACTAATCATAGAGTTTGGCATTTCCCTTATATACATTAAATTAAAAGAAGAAAATACTTTTATAAACGGAAATGAAACACATAATTTAAAGTTAAAGAAAATAGCAACATAAGTTTAGCGGACATTTTGAATAAAACTTTCTCAGTTTTGAGAGAGATCGATCACAGGTCTCTTTCCTTTCCAAAAAGTTTGTAACTTTTAAAAATACAAAAATATTGGCTAGAAAAAACACAAGCAGTACATACGTATAATTAATTTTCCTGGTAAATAAAGAAAAAAAGATTGAAGGATATTTTTTTCACAAAATAAACTCACTAAATAATAATAAATTTGACAGAATTTCATCGCTATCTACCTTATAGTACAGACGTTTAAGAAGCCAACTTACCGACTGAAAATGGAACGTAACTTTCAGGCTTAGTTGTAGTTAGCTTCCCATTTTCTTCAACTAAGAATCTTTCTGGTTTGAACTTTTCGGGCTCTTCCCAGTATTCGGGATCATGATGAACAGCCCATGCATTGGCAATGATCTCAGTTCCCTTCGGAATATCATATCCAGCTACAACCGCATCAGCACTGGCCCTGTTGGAAAAATGATAAACATCTGTAACGTTTAGAAATCTAATATTTTATTACTTTTACCTGTATGTCACTTTTGTCATCTCCCACCAACAAATTAGTTAAGTTAGCACAGTTGGAAGAAAAATATTTTGATAAGATTTCGCTCTTACAAATTGAACATTTTATTATTTTCATCATTACTATCACTTCTACTTTTGTCAGCTCCCATCAGCAAGCGAATTAAAGAAATATATAATAGTAGAGCTCCTGAAGTTAAGGAAGACTTTTTGGCAACAGCTGCTGCCCGTCTCCAAAGCTACTTTAACACAGATTTTAGGTTTACTTGAATCGGCTTTAGCCTTTGCTATCTTTGTTTGTTTGCGTTTTTAGAGGGCTTAAGCCAGAACATACAGTAGAGTATTGCCATGTAAATTTATACCTAAATGACTTAAATTTTATCCTGACTTTTATTTTCTGTTAATCCTGCAGGAGGCGAGGACTTGTTCTGTAACCACACGAATGTCGGAGCCTGAGACAAATCGCTGTGTTTCCTGTCAACGAGTCACGTAAAGTAAACAAAATTCCTTAAGAAATTGAGTTTGTTTAATAAAACTGTGTATATATAGGCACCATGCATTGTTGCATATAAATCTTTTGAATAAAATTCGGTGTTTTGCTATATGAAAAGAATAAATTAATAGTAGATGAGAATGTACATTAAAAGGTTAACAGTTGTATTCTTCTCTAAAATTTAAAAAATTTAACTTTAATAATCCCTCATCTATTAATAGCTTTGGAAATAATTCACCTTTAGGCAGTAATAATAATAGTAGGCCTCTAATCAGTGAGTTGTCTCGTATAAAACGTTCATTCTACTGACTCTTAGCAAGAAATACCTGTAGAACTTTATGTTCAGCCGAGAAACGAGATGACTGAAAAGATAATATGTACAGTTAAAACAAATATGATGGATTTAGATCTTAAAGTCGAAGCAGAGGAGTTTTATAAGGTTTTTGATGTTCTCACTGAGCTCGCAGTTTACCAGTCTGTTCTTGGATTCACTCCTGTCAAATACTCGCTTTTTAAAAAATATTATCATATGAATGACAGCATATGAGGCATTATATATATCATATATTATTATATTTGTCGCTGATAATAGACATTTTGGTAATATATAATACTATATTCTTATGCATTCATAAATACTGAATTTTGATTTGAAAAGTGGTACACCGCAGAATTGATTCTACTCAAAAGTGAGGATCAAGAGTAATAAACATTCTAATGCTTTAAAAAAACTAGAAGAAGGAAAATAAATTGGAAAAAAATAGCTAATTATTAGAAGGTATATTTCGCGTATTTCTTTTCTTTGTCTATTAAGAAGTCCATAAAATGAATGATTTGGAATTTATTTTTGGTTTCGATGATGAAAGTTCATTACCGTCGCGGCGTGTATTAGGTTGCCGAATGTGAAAACAAGTTGCTTATTGCAAGATCAGAAATAAAAATAAAAATTTGAAAATTGTTCGATATAAGAACTAAGGTGTTCCACACTGTCCACTGAAAAAAAAAAACGCGTAAGTTGTACTGTACAAATTTACTTGACGAAGAGAAATAAGTTGTGACATTTAAACTTTCATTAGCGTATTCTAAGTATGTTGTTATTCATTGATTGGAAAATCATTAATTTTTAAGGACATTCGAAAGACAGAGAATACTATTGTACATAAGCAGAAATTTCACGAAAAACGCAGCAATTTAATTATCTCTTAAATCCAAATTCCATCAAATTGCTATCACTTTCCTAGATAAAGATATAATGTATAAATATTTTATCACCTCTTGCATTACTTTTAAGGGACAATGCATCGTAATAAAGATATATGAAGCCTTTAAATCCAAAAAATTGTGTTATTTTTTAATTATATTCCTTGGCTATGTTGATGCAAGATGCATAACACTTTTTACAAATAAGATGGATCAACAATTTTGTTTTTTAGGGTTAGCATGGATCTAAAAAACGAACATAAGAGAATTTTAATGTTGTGTACATTATAATTTAAGTGAAATAATTATTGCATTCATAAATAAAGTTTATTCATTGAAATGATGCAATCGGGCTATCCCATCTGTAGTTGAAAACTATTCCTCTAACAACGATCTTATACTAATACCTTTCAAAAATTTCACCAGTTTTGTCATTAAAACAAACTTCAAAATTTTAATGTATTTTAAGAGATGTTGTAAGGTTTTATATAAACTAAACCAATTATTCTGTCTCCGTCGACTCCCACGCGGTTGTGATCAGGTGAATGTACATATATGAACAGAAGTTAGTGAGTGAGCTTTGGGCAGCTACGCAGACGCTTCTTACCTAGCTCATAGAATTACCTAAATCGGCGTTAATCTTTTGTTAGTCGTGTTGCTAACGAAGGTTGTGACTTTGCCTAGCGAAATTAATTTCTTAAATATTACATTAAATAATTTACGTTAGCTTAAATCCCACAGTAAACGGCGATTGTAAGGGATGATCCATGCGTTTTGCAAAATTAAAGTTATAATGAAAAGGTCTGTTTTAAAATTTCATTTGTGTTATAATTACTGAGCTCTAGATTAAGACAGGGCGATAAGCCATCTGAAGATTTACACGGACCCCGAATTTCATACTTATTAGAATTCCGTATAATGTAATACTGACTCTTTTTTTTTTTTTTTTTTTTTTTTTTTTGTCTGAAAATAATTTTGTTGGAAGGAAGAATTATTTACTTCAGGCGACTATTTGCTAGGACTTTTGAAAAGGAAATGAACAGTAAAAGTTAATTTTCTTAGGTAACGAGCTTACCAATGCTTTAAAGACACCGCAGTCCTCCATCTTTGGCCTTCCATTATAGTCGCATTGACGTAAGGCAACTTTGCACGTTCTATCCATGACACTTTTCCATCTTTTCCTAACACCGAGTCTATTTCTTCTTGTACTTTTTTCTGCACTTCAGGAAATGCGACCATGGTCAACAGTAACCACAAAATAGCTGTCCTTGTGCTTTCACTACCTCCAATAACCATGGCTTGAGCATTGCCCACTAGAAATTTCTCTGAAAACATTTTAAACGAATAAAGAGGATATTCAATACAGATAAAGCTTGGAAATTTTCTTAATGTATCGCACTAAAGTTGCTCAAAAAAATCAACACAAACCTCTTCAGCATGTAACTACTTAAATTACAAAATAATTTTTATGAAAATACATGGTAAAAATTCACGTATAAAATAATCATCTCTGCTAAAGGAGTGTTTGGGCGGGACTCCAGATTGAATGCTTCCCGTTGAAGTCGCCGCTAATGATTAATAAAATATTGTCGTTGGTCTTTATCAGATTTTCTAAGGGGGCCAAGATTGGCCCTACGCCCTGTGAGGGTGGGCAGTAGACTGAGGCAATTAAGTAGGGGTGTGCTCCTTCTAAGCGTAATGTCATGATACTATCTGTACTTAGGGTCCCTAGGGCTGGCAGCGCCTGGTCAGTTAACATGATCTAGTTAACTGTTTGGTTTCCCATATATTGTTGAAAAGCACGTAATTGGTTGTCTCGAACATATGGTTCCTACGTACCTGCTATTTGAATTTCAGAGTTTTGTTCAAGGTGTTCGCTCAACTACGTAGTTGTACCCCCAGGAGCAATGAAAATTTTTTTGCATTACTTTTATTTACTCATAATTTATTGGCTGTTTATAGCTTTCGAGCTCTCTTATATAGCACGCACGCTTTCTGTTTCGGCTGTCGCGATGGGTTTTCATACCTGAGTTAAATTTAGAGTTTATCTTATGGCAGTTTATACAATGAGGAATTCTTTTCTGAAATCCCTTTTTTTTATGGTCCTCAGAGCCGAAGCTTGTGCATTTTATTCTCTCCGTACAATTTTTTGTAGAGTGATTATATCCAAAACACTAAAACATTATGTTACCTGAAGAAATTCTCGTATATTGTTTCTTGTCGATTAGACATTGAGTTCTTTTGGTTTTCATTATGTGCTTGTTCGAAGTGGGATTGATTGAGGCTAACCAGTGTTTTCAATTTTAATACTTTTCATGGAGAAAAGAGCGTCTATTTTTGCGTTATCAAGTTCCTTATTCTGAGTCACAAATTTTTCTTTCAACTGTCTCTTTTCTATGTTTTTTTACATTATGAATGACTACCTTTGGATTTACTTTCTGCGGTCTTTTTGTTTCTACTATTAACATTTTATTTTCTATATTGGCTTCTTCTTATATTTCTAGGTCTTCCTTTTCGTTCACCTGTATTAGTACTCTCTCCTTTCTTAAGTTTTTTTTACTGTTCAAACGTATAATTTTAATCTAGTAGGGTCGATGTATTTTATTTTGGGATAAATTGTAGTCATATGATCTTGTACTTGTTTATTATTTTGAGACGTGGCTATAAATGCGGAGCGTCCTCTTTTTGCCATATTGCCGTAAGTTAGTTTTTCTATTGTCACAAACGCTCTTGAATAGTCCTCGATATTATTAGTTTGTTCGATTTGGCCTCTTTTTTCCTACATTCTTTGGACTGTCATTAGTGTCTAATAAGCCGTAAAGTTCTATTACATATCCAAGTGCCTCCTGCACGCTAAGGTAATCGTCCACTGAAGAACTGTTGCCCTCAGATGTCAACTACATTAGAGTGTCTTGCACTGTTAACAGAGTGCTGGCCGGCTGCATTTCGCTGTCGGGGCATTGCTGCTTCTCTGTCTCCGGACTAACGCGATGTGCCATCTTCCTTATACTGCGCAAGATGACAAGTAGGAAAGTGTGACTAACAAACTGGATTTAGCAAGGTACCACAGCAGGCCTCTTTAAGGAATCAACAAAGGTAGTAGATGATGTTTGCGGTAACCAGTACCATGGGGTTCTCACCAATCACCACTACTAGGCTGTGAAGTAATTTTGGTCCTCTTGGGAGAGAGCTCTCAGACCACATCAAGGTGAACCTCTCTACTGAGAATTAGTTTCTGCAAAAAAATCACAAGTCGATAATCACTCCCTTCGCATCATACGATGGCAAGCTAAACCTCAGGTAGACATGTTACACTAGTTCAGTGTTTAAGGTGGCGATGTTTCCAGAGCAATTAGAACTAAAAAGCTACAAACAAATTGCATTCCCCCTCAACACGTCTGATTGAACATTTCCTACCTTTCTGTCGCTGTACCTATGAGACGCTGATTTCAAAGTTGTTCTCAGTAGACTTCGGAGAGTAGAGTTTTCTTGTCTTAAGGTTAACAAAACAATGCTCTAGAGACACTGTAAAAGAGTCTCGAATACCAGCTGATAGGAGGTGTAAATGCAACTTCTGCATCCAGTCTTACCTTTGGGATAGACACATTATGTTAATGTAAAGTTATTAGGAAAGGCTTATCAGCATTACTGTCCATTAAGAATTCTTATATGACGATTGAAATAAGCGCTAAAAGGACATAAAATCAAGAAAAAATGCTTTTTTAGAAGGGTTTTAAGCTATAAAGGTGAAAATGTTTTTTTTCTAGAGATTTATTCCGTTCACTAATATAGTTAAATCCTATCAATTGATATATGGCGCATAAAATGAAGAGATAGAAGTCCAATATTAGTCCATTAGGAATTGAACGGTGAGAAGGAAGAAGCGGATCGTTATGTTGTTGATAACTGCATGCAAGATATTTTACTTGAGCTGCTAAATGAATACAAGCCATCCGAAGTTTATCATAGAGATGAAACTGGACTGCGTTATAGAACATTACCAGAACACACACTAATATTTAAGTGTAAAAGAGCAGTTGGCTTAAAAAACTGAAGGAATACGTTACTGCGCTATTAACATGCATAACATGGACCCAACAACTAAGAAGAGAGGATTTATTATAGATGAAAACAGAAAACTTTGACGTTCGGAAGGAGTGAAGAATTTACTTTTAACTTACCGTAGCAAAGTAAACTTATGAATGGAAAATAGTATTTTTACTGATTTTCCTTTTGATGGAGCAGCAAACTTTTAAAAACATGTAGAAAAGAAAAAATAGCTTTACCAACTAGTGTCTCTTCCTGAAAATACCCTTCAAACATTCAGCCTTTATGCTAGGGTATTATAAAAGACTCCACATTCATTCAGGAAAGATGTTTAGAAAGTGAGAATCAGAATTTAGTTTTGTGAAAAGTAAGTATTTTAAAGGAGATAACTAAGTTAACAATTTTGACAGAAGCCACGCAGAGGGACAATTTCTTGAGACATAGTTAAAAACTGTTTTCAACTACGTAGCTTTTATGTAGAAGAAATATAAGAAGAATTGGAATCTAAAGCTAACGTTTCAGACATCAGTGAGGGTAGTTACAAATAAAAGTTCATTTTTAGAATATGTGACAGTTGACAGCAATACTGAGACAAAGTATGTAAAAACTGACAGAGATATTATAGAAAGTGTTGGCAGAACTACAGAAGTAGACAATGAAAATGATACAGAAGAAAGCTATGATATGTTGGCATCAGGTTAAATTTGGAAAAGCTCTGAAATTTTAAGAATATATCTTGAACTGAAAGATGCTGATAAAAAAACACTACAAGCGTTTTTATGAAATTCAAAATAACAATTGAAGAACTGTTGATGAGTAATATCAAGCAAACACGGGTAGAACAATCTTTTATAAAATTAAAATTCTCCTCTAGTACATAATTATGAATATTCTTTAATCAACATTTGAATATAAATTTCAAAGTGTCATTAGCAGTTCAAGCTCTCATTAAATTTTTATTATTATTTTAGGATTAATTATTTAATTTGTTGTCAATTATTATTTTACAAGATAAATTTAAAACTGTTATCACAATTTGAAATACGTAAAATGCCATTTATTAAGTTCATGACGTTAATAAACTGAAGTATGTTTGAAAAAGAAGTGATTTTTATATAGCGACGGGTATTGTATATGTAATATGAAATTTCATAAACATAAAATATTTTTATAAAAATTTTTAATGAATTTAAAAATTGCATAAATAATTTAATTTTTTTAATTATTATTTAGGATTAATTAATATATTAGTTTTTAAATATTATTTAACTTGAAACGTTTGAAACTGATACCACGGTTTGTATGCACATATCACCGTTTACTAATCTCAGCCACTATAATAAACTCAAAAACATTTGGAGCGGAAGTGATTTTAGTAATAAGCGGTGGGTACTGTATATCAAGCAGATTTCAGTCTATTATTTTTATTTGAATTAAGGATGAAAACCCTTTCTTACATAGATCCATAAAAAAAAAACTGATTCCTATTTTAAAGCACCATTGTACAGTTCACTATATTTCGTTTTGACAGGTAATGAGGTCCAGAAATTAACCATAACTTCTGTTTGGAATTTCATTTTAGAGTTCAGGTAGACTGTTTTCTTTCATTCAGGGCAGAGTGTTCTCTTTCGTAAGTGGCTGTTTGTTTTTTCAAAATTTCAACAGAAAAGGTCAAGAACCCAAGAAAATTCACTATATTTAGCATTTGGAAAATAAGTTTCAAATTTTGACATCAGAGTTTCGAGATGTGATGATATATCATTGTTCACTGCCACGCCTATCGAATTAATTTCTACCTTTTCGTTGCCCTGCGTTGGCAACATGCTTTTGAGATTTGTCGTTCGTAGGATTCGGTCGCTAAAAGCGTAGCTGGCCTGTAACGGTTGTAATTCTTATTTTATGCTTATCTGTACTTCTGAATTATTACTAAATGTTTACGTGTGAATGTTATATTATTAAATGTATTCAGTTTGGTTGAAATAGACCGAGAGTGGCTGAATTTATTAAGTATAATCGAAGAGAAAGAAGAAATTTATTAAGTATAAGTCGAAACTGCGTCATCCATGTCGGCGCCATTCTAATACGAGGTACGTAAACATCATTTGGAGGCACCGGCGAGATCATATCAAGAATTCGTCAGCAGTTAAAATACAGATAAGTGATGATTTTTTAGTTCGATTTACATCTAAATTTGATTCTTGAGGTTTTATATCTATTTTGCATTGATTTTGATTTTGAACTTGAATACTTCGATTACTTATTATGGATCAAGCTACTG